CTACTTATTACACAGTTTTATAGTAGATATAGCTTTGTACTGTATATAGTAATCTGAGCATTAAGTTTGGTCTGGCACCTCTCCTATTTTTCTCCTCAATCCACACATTCAGTAACATTACAGTTTTACATGTATTTTTGCTTCTCTGGCACCTCAGTATCACTAGTATTTCTTATATGTGCCATGATTAATATCCTGAGACAAAATGAGATGAGATGCAAAATCATTTGAGAAACACAGTCACTACCACATGGAATGCTTCTAGAAGGCAACTGTTGGTGTGGATGGCAGTGTGGGTGGGGGGAGGTGCAATGCCTCCACAAACAGAATAATCACCTATAGACCCAATGCATTGGAAAGGAACAAAACACCACTTTAAAGACTGCAGTGCTAATTATTTTCTTGTACCATGGCTTTTTGGTTTCACTTTTTCAATACTAGATGGTTGTGTATTTTTTCAGTGCTCTAGTTGCTTATCATTTTAATATATAGGTGCCCCTTTTTATGCTGTAGATATATTCCTGGCTCATAACAATTGCAGTAAGCTCAATTAGGCCATGAACACTTAATTCAACATAGTAAGAATCTTTATTACATGTTGCAAACCATATTGATCACATAGCAAATGTATATCGCATATACAGAATTAGCGCTAGAAACAAAGTATGCATCACATAATATTGAAGTCATATAAAGCAAATCTACATATATTATAATCATTTGCAATGCACAGATTATGTTCCTGAAAATTGCATGTGATGTAAAGCATAACTAGGGTTATGCTTCAGACACCTTCAAATTTGTTAGTTAATTTTTGTGTATTTTACCATTGAACTAGGTAGAAATAAGTCTGTATAACTTACATTTTGTTAGTTGTCATTTGAAGTATTTGATGAGTGTAAGGCTTACATAGGCCTGCTGGGCCAAATTGGTTGTTGTTAAGGTTAATCAGCCAACATAATCTCAGTAAAGTACACATTAGCATCATAAAAGCTAGACTTCCTACAAAATTGTACCAAACATATAGGAACTCAATACTCTTATAGTCCATTCAGTCTTTTTTTTTTTTTTTTTTTTTCAACAAACCAGCCATATCCCACCAAGGCAGGGTGGCCCAAAAAGAAAAACAAAAGTTTCTCTTTTTAAATTTAGTAATTTATACAGGAGAAGGGGTTACTAGCCCCTTGCTCCTGGCATTTTAGTCTCCTCTTACAACACGCATAGCTTACGGAGGAAGAATTCTGTTCCACTTCCACCATGGAGATAAGAGGATATAAACAAGAACAAGAACTAGTAAGAAAATAGAAGAAAACCCAGAGGGGTGTGTATATATATGCTTGTACATGTATGTGTAGTGTGACCTAAGTGTAAGTAGAAGTAGCAAGACATACCTGAAACCTTGCATGTTCATGAGACAGAAAAATGGGCACCAGCAATCCTACCATCATGTAAAACAATTACAGGCTTTCGTTTCACACTCACTTGGCAGGACGGTAGTACATCATTGGGTGGTTGCTGTCTACCAACCTACTACCTTAAATTCAGTCTGTTGTTTGAACCTAAACAAATTGCAACAGTAAGAAAGGGTTAGTAGTTCAAGTTCGACAAAAATATCATAATAAGTTTCATTCTCCTATGTGTAGGTTATTTGTGTATTGTTCCAGTCACAATATTGTGCCTTTTTGTTCTTTTTTCTGTGTTAACTTTTCTGTAAGCCATAAAAAATGGCAATCAGTATGGTTATGATTCATTTTCATTTTTTCTATTTTAAATGGAAGATTACATATATTTAATCTTTTAACTGTGTGCAACATACTAGTATTCAGGTGATGACTGTGTGTCTGATATACTAGTATGGCACAATTTTTCATGCCTTCAGATATTCTATCTGCCAATATTTTTGGCCTCAGCTCAACTGTCTGGGTTTCATACAACTTCCACACCACTTCAAAAAAAATCTAAGACAAAGTGGGCCCATGCAGTGCATCATGCAGTAATGCTACCTAACTAGCTCATAAGTAAACATTATTATTATTATAATCAAGGGGAAGTGCTAAACCCGGAGGATTATACAGCGCCTGAGGGGGGGGGATGTGGAAGGCATTCAGGCTTAATTCGGGGAACTGGACCACAGATCCAATTTCCTAAATCAAGAGCCCCTCACCAACATCAAGGAACCTTCCTTGAGGGGTCATAAGTAAACAATGAAACCAGGATCTGTTGTTTCACCATCAGCTTCCTTATCAGCAAATAGAGTCTGGAACTGCCAGGAAGATGCTTTATTAAATCCAAATTAATTACAATTTCATGATACTACCAGTAGAATTCAGCCAATAAGCACACTATGTAGATTTAACCCTTTGAGGGTCTGTCCCGTAGATCTACGGCTTTACGTTCAGGGTCCAAACCGTAGATCTACGTCATGAGCTCAGCTCACTCTGATAAACTGTGAGTGGTACATTTGGGCCTAGATATGAGAGAATACATCTATGTGGTATGTGTGCACCACATAAAACAGATCCTGCAGCACGCTGTGTATAATGAGAGAAAAAAACTGAAATCATGATTTTTCGATTAAAACAGCAACTTTGCAGTGTTTTTTCATATGATTTTTATAGTTCTATTTGCGATTTCTTGGTCTCATTTGATAGAATGGAAGACATATTACAGAAATAGAGATGATTTTGATTGGTTTTAGCACTGGAAATGGCTTGAAACTGAGCTCAAAGTAGTAGAAATGTTAAATTTTTGCCGATATTCAAGAGTAAACAAACGACCTCACACGTCTAATACACGCCAGCTGGTGGGTCTAATATGCATTCACAAATATGGTGATGATATTTATACAATTATTACAGTATTGCATAACAGTAAATCTTCTATTTTTTGGTGTGAATAAAAATTCATTATGTGAATAAAAAATCAAAATGGAATTTATTTGTAAAGCCTCAAAACATAACTAATGAACAGGGGAAATGTTAGTTTAGTTCCAGGAATACCTACATTGTTTATTCTGGACCCTATTTTGAAATTGGAATATTTTGAACTTTGTGTTAAATTGGCCAAATTAACAATTTCCGATCACTTTAATTTGTAGTTGAAACAGTTGACTTGGCGATTTCTTGTGCTCAATCGATAGAATAGAAGTAATACTAGTGAAATAGCTAAGAATTTGGTTGACTGGACTAATGTAATTGGCCTAAAATGGGAGTCAAAGTCGGCAAAATCGCCGATTCGTAAATATCGCTGACACATCAAAATTCGCGAGAGCATAATTTCGTCAATTTTCCATCAAATTTCGTACTTTTTGTTTTATTACCTTCACAAAAAGATTCTCTACCATTTCATAAGAAAAAATAACAATTTTTTTTTTTTTAAATTCTTGGACACTGGGGCACCACTTCAGATTTGGGCCTTGGACCCTAGGATAACCCAATATGTATAGTTAAACAATATGCCGTACTCATGTTTCCATGAGTATTATACCTTGAAACAATCATAATATTGTAAAATTTCTTTGTAAATATGTGTTTTAGAGTGGTCTGGAAGACAGAGATTTTACATAAACCTTGTGTAATTTCCATAGACACAAAAATTTATATTTATGTAACTCAAGATATTCGCCAAAGCCTTTTTTTTTTTTTCCTTTTAATATGCTGATACACCAGTTCAGATGTCCCTCCAAATAGCAAATTATTAACCTAGGAATATCCAATATAGTCAGACAGTGAGACTTATTTCCAAGTTTTGAGAAGTGTTACACCTTGAAACAATTGTAATGTCATAGGTTTTTCTTGTACATAGTGTTAGAAGACTAAAGCAGTAAAAAAAATAGAAAAAGCAATTATTTCCTCTAATTTATGCTCTATATTCTATGTGGAGCAATATTGAGCTATGCATTTCCCCTTGTCTGAAGTACAAAAAAAAACTTGAAACACATTTTGATATAAGTAGTGTATATAATGTTAAACACTAAAAACAAAAATAAAAAAAATGATAAAATCATAATTTGGTATCAATAAATTGTAAAACATGAATATCTGTGGAGAGTAGTAAGAGAGAAAAAGTTAGCATATGAGGTTTTTACAAAGCAGAAGTGATGCAAGGAGGGAGGAGTACATGGAGAGCAAAAGAGAGGTTAAGGAATGTAAAAGGAGAGCAAATGAGAGAGTGGGTGAGTTGTTATCAACAAATTTTGCTGAGAATAAGAAAAAGATTTGGAGTGAGATTAATAAGTTAATTAAGAAAGCCTAAGCTCCACTATTGGTGATCAGATGCAATTGCAATGGAAGGCTGCACCACTCATGTCCTTTTACAAGCAGATTGAAATATTTTATGAAAGGTACTACCCAAATTTTGTGTGTTACCTAATTCTTTTTATATTTACAGCAGGTAATTCAGCCTGCCTTTTCCCACCAAGGCAGGGTGGCCCAAAAAGAAAAACAAAAGCTTCTCTTTTTAAAATTAGTAATCTATACAGGGAAAGGGGTTACTAGCCCCTTGCTCCCGGCATTTTAGTCGCCTCCTGCAACACACATGGCTTACAAAGGAAGAATTCTGTTCCACTTCCCCATGAAAATAAGAGGAAATAAATAAGAACAAGAACTAGAAAGAAAATAGAAAAAAACCAGAGGGGTGTGTATATATATATGCTTGTACATGTATGTATAGTGTGACCTAAGTGTAAGTAGAAGTAGCAAGATGTACCTGAAATCTTGCATGTTTATGAGACAGAAAAATGACACCGGCAATCCTACCATCACGTAAAACAATTACAGGTTTCCGTTTTACACTAAGTTGGCAGGACGGTAGTACCTCAGAAAAAAGACACCGGCAATCCTACCATCACGTAAAACAATTACAGGTTTCCGTTTTGCACTCAGTTGGCAGGACGGTAGTACCTCCCTGGGCGGCTGCTGTCTACCAACCTACTACCTATATTTTATGCATTGTATTTGATTATTTAGTGGAAAACTTATACTTCTCTCTTATTCTTTTAGGAAAACAACTACTTTGAAGAAGCATTCAAAGCATATGAAAAGGGCATCTCCTTGTTTAAATGGCCTTATGTATATGATATTTGGAACACTTACCTCACTAAGTTTCTTGAACGTTACAAGGGAACCAAGATAGAACGTGCTCGAGATCTTTTTGAACAGGTGAGGAGCAACATGTTTAATTAATTGTTAATGCTTAAAAGCTCATAATCATGATTGTCTTCAACTGTTATATCAAAGTAATTTATTTTATTCAAATTAGCATTCAAATTACTAGAAAGAAAAATAAAGGATATTCTTTGTGAAAAATTTTTTTGATTTAGTACGTAGTGGTTCCCAGTATTCTTTTAAAGCTTGCATTTCCTACATTAAAATTTAACTTGTTTTTAATGTAAATATATATATTGGTATCTTCGAGGAGTTAATTATTTTGAATGTTTTGCAGTGTCTCGAAAAATGTCCTCCAAGCTATGCTAGAAATCTGTATCTCTTATATGCCAAGATGGAGGAAGAATATGGTCTAGCAAGACATGCAATGCAGGTATACAGCCGTGCTACCAAAGCTGTACCACCTGAAGAAAAACTGGCCATATACAACATTTACCTTCAGCATGCTCAACAGATTTATGGTGTTACAAAAACAAGAGAAATTTATCAGGTGAGGAATGGCTTAAATATTGGCATTTATATCTGTAATATTTAAAGATTATCCTTTTTAGTGATAAATGCAAATCTCTTCCAAATACAGCATTGTTATACATGGTTCATTGTGCTTATTGTATGCATAATTAAAAATGTTGATAGTCAAAGTGTTGGGTTGTATGAAATAATTTAAACACTGCTTAAAATATGTAATTTAAATGCTACTTAATACTAAAATACATACATAAATACAAAAGAATTAGATGAAATAAATGCAAATTTAACCTTTCTTTACTTTGCTGAAAAGAGTCGAGTGCCTACTAGGATAGTGCTGAGAAGGGAGGAGGAGGAAATGTTATTGTTTGGAAGGAGAGTCCCCTTCACTTTTCTGTCTCTTTTCCCTATTTGGACCTAGTTGAAGCTCACAAGGTTTGACTTTTACTAAAAATCTGTCCAAAGAACTTTGCTTCTGCCATCTCCTCATGATGTTTCGGAAATGTGACATTGTCTGGTCATTCCAGACAATGCTATTATGGCTTGTTTGGGCTTTGTTGGGGTGGTACTTCTCTGCAAAGTTTTTGACATCCATCCATTTGGCAAAGATTTCCTTGATTAATGAAGTAGGGAGCGGTTAGTTTCAAAGGTATCAGCCAACCTGGCTGCCTCCAATGCAGTGGTTAAGTCACGATCCTGCAGAAAGACTCTAACCTCTGGTCCCAGAGACTCCAGCAGGTTGTCAACCAGAATAAGCTGCATGAGCCTGAAGAGAGTGCATCCATCTTAGTTTTGTGCTTCTCTTTCTCAAGTTCCTGCAGTTCCTCAGTGGTCAGCTCTTCCCTGTGCCCCTCCACTAACTCCTCCACATCACCATCACTCACATCCAGACCCATGGAACTGCCCAGAGAGACATCCTCCACTATAGACACAGCCTCAAAGCCCTCAAAGTCTCTTTCAGCCACTGCTTCTGGCCACAGATTCCTCCAAGCAGAGTTCATTGTTCTGTATGAAACTTTTGCCAGGCTTTGTCAATGAGAGTTAAGCTAGTGGGCAGTCATGACTTTGTCTTGAGAGAGAAGTAAACAAGGGTAGCGCATGGTGTCTTGACTCATTTTGACCCCTATAAGTTCTAGTACGCAAGTCATATTCCAAACAAAGGTTGTATACCAAGCAAAAATTTTCACATCCAAACAGGACGTATACCAAGTTGGGCTTATTCCAAAGCCGACATTTACTGAGGTACCACTGTAATTACATTCCTAAAAATAGTGTGTAATAAAAAAAATCATGTAAAATGAGCCAAAGAACATTTGGCAAAACTAGGATTACATTCATTAGATCCCCCAAATAAGCCAACCAAATTTTGTCTCAAAATTATTATAATCAATGATGATAATAATGTAATAGTAGGCTGATGTAGTTATGTGTTGTAGTTAATACAACATGTAAAGCTACAAAAGTTTCATAAATATTAATTCTTGCCGTAAATTTTGATTACCGGTGTATGTGGAAATTTAAAAGGAGTGGAGAGGGATGATGTAGCCCTACTGGGCTGACCTGGAAAGTTGCAGGTTGTTGGCTGAGCAAGGTTTTTGTCAGCACAATATTTTTTAACAGCAGGGCAAAAATGAGACTTACACCACTCTGTAAATGCTGCTTTGTTGCCCATACTTTCATATTTGCATGCCAGATTGCCAGGAAATCATCTTTCTTGATGTTCTCTAAAACTCTTGGGTTGTCAGTTATACATTTAGAGTGGCTTCAGCTTGAAATCCCCAGCTGCTTGTTGGACTTTTGATTCTTGAACCTCTCCCATCATCTCTTGAGATGGATATTCTTGATGACTTATATTTATAGTAAAGTGGAGTTTCATCCACATTCAATACTTGCTGAGATGCATAGCCACCTTTCTCCATATTTTTTTTTTTCAGGAGTTTAGGGTGTGGCAGACGGATTAGCATCAGCATTTGCTCCCTCACCACTAAACACTAGGTTAAAGAAATTAATATATTTCTTGAATCTTACAAACTATCCCTTATGACCATTGAAAGCAATGTATTATGCATCCTCTTGAATAAGCTTAAGGCCTTTGTTTGAGGAGTCAGCATGTTGTTCTGGGTCTGATCCTAAGTCAACATACTGAGATGCAGCTCCATATCTTGTAACAATTTATTTTGTCTGTGTTTCACTCTACCAGAAGTTACAAGAGTTGTATCACCAGCACTTTCAATAACCGGCTCACTCTTCAAAAGGATGTATACTGTACAGTAGATTTAGCTAAGCTGTTTGACTCTGTTATATGGTTTTTCTCCAGCATCCAGAGGCTAAAAAATGTCTAATTTAGGTCCTAAAAATAATGAGGATCATTTATCACCTATGTTGTCAAAGGTGAAGTGTTTAGTCAGCTGTAGAGAAAACTGAAGAAATACCAAAAGTGTAGAACAGTGTCCACACATTGGGGAGATTCTACTTGTATGCTTTCTTGTGAATTTTCATGAGGGCTTGCAAGTTGCAAGAATAACAGTGGGTCAGAAGCGAGTACCTAGTCTCAAGTGTAGGCCTTCTGCCTAGCAAGCGACTCATGCACCATATGTGTTGATTTGTTGGTTATGCCTACCTGATTGTGGTGCAGGAAATCATTGCTGATCTAGGCTGTGCTCCCCACATGCCATATCAGTTCATTTGTTGATTATGTCCACTTGGTCATATTGCAAAAAATTGATTGCTTATTGAGGTAATGCTCCCCATACACTGTGTATGTTTGTTGGTTATGCCTGTCAGGATGTTATGCAAGGAATTAAATCACTAATCTAGGTTGAAAATTTGCACCCAATAAAGTTAGTCATTAAATGGAGAAAGAGTCCTACTTTTTTGGTCTTTAATTGAAATTCTACTAAGTGAACTTTAGTCATGTATGGCAGGGAAGGTCACTATACAGTGGGAACAAAATTTTTTTTTGGCTTATGCTAGAATGTTTTCATTTAATAGTTTATCTTCTTTTTGTTTTTGAGTTTGAATATACAGTGGACCCTCGACCAGCGGCATTAATCCATTCCAGAGAGCTAGCCGTTAGTCGAATTTGCTGTTGGTCGAATTAATTTTCCCCATAAGAAATAATGGAAATCCAATTAATCTGTTCCAGACAGCCAAAAGTATTAAAAAAATCATTTTTTTCTACATGAAATATGCATTTCCCTACACAGAAAACAATTAGACATGCACAATACATACATAAATAAATACTAAAATGCCACTTACCTTTATTGAAGAGTATTGTTGAGTGATGAGACACTGTTTTTCTTGAACACTCTGGGATTTTCACAGTGATACATGGGTAAAGGCTTCACTTTGCAATCCCCACTAGCATTACAACAAAACAGGAAAGTTAGCCTGTCTTTCATAGGCTTGTGTCCTGGGAGTGCCTTTTCCTTCTGAGTAATGTAGGTCCTGTTTGGCATTTTCTTCCAGAACAGGCCTGTTTCGTCACAATTGAACACTTGTTGGGGTTGGAATTTTTCAGCTTCGCCATGCCTTATCACACTGTGTGTATGCCACTACAATTCTTAAATCTCTCAAACCAACCTTTGCTGGCCTTAAATTCACCAATATGAGCACTAGTTCCAGGCATTTTTTCCTGTTCACCTGGGTGTTAGTCGACTGGTGTTGGTTGCATCCTGGGGGACAAGATTAAAGGCCCCAAAGGAAATAAGTTAGACAGTCCTCGATGACGCACTGACATGACAGTTACTATTAAGATTCTTAATATCAGAGCATAAGTCAATATATCCATACTCATTATTTATCATTTCTTAACCCATACCTCTAACTAATCCTAGTTTAAAGTCCTAACAACCCCCTCAACTGAGTTAGCAAGAAAACCCACACCTGCCCTGGATAAGTGAACCCCATCCCTGGCATACATGTCATTTCGGCCATAGAAGCTGTCCCAGTTGTCAATGAATGGTACTGCATTATCCTTACAGTGTTTATCCAGCCAACAATTAATACCAATTGCTCTGGACAACCATTCATTACCAACACCTCTTCTTGGCAAAATGCCACATATAACAGGGTGCCCCCCCTTCTTCCTAATTATGTCTATAGCTGTCCTGAACTTTCTAACTAAATCCTCACTTCTACGCTTGCCTACATCATTGCCTCCAGCACTGAGGCAAATAATAGGATTGATCCCATTACCGTTCATGATGTTGTCAAGCCGGCTAACAATGTCCTCCATCCCAGCCCCAGGAAAGCAAACCCTCTGTCTCCTACTCCTGTCCTTCAAGCAGAATGCCCTATCCATGTATCTAACCTGGCTATCCCCAACAACAACAATATTCTTACCTTCCTTGGTGTCGTTCGTCGTGACGTTACCAGTAGTCGACTCACATTCGTCGGGTAGCACTGAGAATGTATTAGATGTTTCCACAACAGTTTCCACAGCAGTCTCTTTCTTCTTCATCGTTTCTACCTTTCCATTCGTCTTCTTGATCGTCAACTTCGTTCCCTGCTGTCCAGCCACTGACCAGTTTCCCTTCTTGACCTGAGGATTCAAAACAGGAGGACTACTACGAATCTTCTTGTTTTCCTCGGTCAGTCACCGAATCTCCATCTTCGCCATCCTCAATTCTTCCTTAACCTGTTGGTAAAGTTGCTCGATGGAGGGCATCGTGTTTTAGTAAAATTAATAAATAATGTAATGCTTTTTTAATTTTTAATGCGTAGGAGGCAATTGATGACCTACCTGATGAAGGTGCACGAGAGATGTGCTTACGTTTTGCTGAGATGGAAAGAAAGCTGGGTGAAATTGATCGTGCTCGAGAAATTTATGCCTACTGCAGTCATATATGTGACCCTCGCATTACCGCAGAATTTTGGGCCAAGTGGACAGACTTTGAAGTGGCCCATGGTAATGAAGACACCATGAAAGAACTTCTTCGCATCAAGAGGTCTATGCAAGCTAAATATAACACACAGGTTTGATTATCATTACAGTGTAATATTTTTAAGATGTGCATTGATTTTGCAAATAAATAAATTGGTAGGAAATACTGATATAGTTTAAATCACTGCATTTATAATGTGTAAGAGAATTAAGGTTTTATTTTTTTGCTATAATTCTATACAGTTTTGTAGAAAACTATTGAAAATGTGATTCATGCAACATTTATCTTTTTTTCCCTGAAGGTGAACATGATGTCTGCACAAATGTTAGCATCTGCAGACACTGTTGCAGGAACCGTTTCTGATCTTGCTCCAGGTGCTAAGGATGGAATGCGCATGTTGGAGGCTCGTGCTGTAGCTATGAACCAGATAGAAGAACAGAATCCTCAGGCAACACATGCTCCTGCAGGTACTTATTATATATGCTAGTTAGGTATTGAAGATAGCAGGATGCCTTATTTAATTTTTTCCATTTCTCCAGTTTCTTGATAATACAGTTATCTTTCGTAGATAATAGGGTGGTAGACACTAGTGACTCAGGGAGGTAATATTGTCTTGCCCAATGAGTGTGAAACAGAAACCTGTTGATTGTTTTACACTGGTAGAATTACTGGTATCTTTTTCTGTCTCATAAGCATGTAAGATAACAGTTACATCTTGCTACTACTAGTAACACCCAGTACATACTGTGCTATATGTGCAGCTGTGCATGTATTTGAGAGGGTGAGGGGCTGCCAACAAGTGTTTCTGAGAAAAAGAAAAAGTTTTGGAGTGAGATTAATAAGTTGAGAAGGCCTAGGGAACAGCTAGATTTGACAATTAAAAACAGAAGAGGAGAGTTATTGGATGAAGAGTCAGAGGTACCAGAAAGATGGTGGGAATATTTTGATGAAATGTTAAATGTTGATGAAGAGAGGAAAGCTGTGATATATAAAGACAAAGGGGACAAAAGAGAGAGTAGTATAAGAATTATAAGGGAATAAGCTTGTCAAGTATACCTGGTAAGGTGTATGGTAGAATTATTATTAAAAGAATTAAGGATAAGATGGAGAGCAGGATTGCAGCTGAACAAGGAGGCTTTAAGAAGGGTAGAGTATGTATAAACCAAGTGTTTACATTGAAGCATATAAGTGAACAGTATTTAGATAAGAATAAAGAAGTTTTTACTGCATTTCTAGATTTGGAAAAGGCATATGATAGGGTGGATAGGGAAGCAGTGTGGCAGATGTTGCAAGTGTATGAAATAGGTCATAGGTTATTGAAAGCAAAATTGCAAAGGTTGGTAGACAAATTTGGGAAGGTACGTACTAGTACGCAGGTGTGGGTGCTGTGTCCGACATACTAGTACACACCATATTTTGTACCCATAAATCTGCCACCTGCCAATATTTTTTACCTTACGGCAACTCTTTGGGGTCTTCTTCCATCTATTCATACATCTGAAAAAATCTAAGGCCAGCAGGGTCCACACAATGTATCATGATTAACTACTCAGGGAATGACTGTATGTCTGCTGTACTAGTACGCCTCACTAGCACCAGGAGCTGTCATTCCACCACCAGCTTCCCCACCAAGAAACAGGGTGCACAAGTGGCTCAGAGATGACTTAATGAGTCCAAATTTGTTACAATTTCATGATACTAACAGTGAAACTCAGACACAAAGCACACTAGGTATATAACCCAGGATAACCCAGTACAGTCAAACACTGTCAATTTTTTTATGAATATTATACTCTAAAATAATTGTTAGCATATGAGAGGTTTTTGCAAAGTAGAAGTGATGCAAGGAGGGAAGAGTATATGGAGAGAAAAAGAGAGGTTAAGAGAGTGGTGAAGCAATGTAAAAAGAGAGCAAATGAGAGCGTGGGTGAGATGTTATCAACAAATTTTGTTGAAAATAAGAAAAAGTTTTTGAGTGAGATTAATAAGTTGAGGAAGCCTGGGGAACAAATGGATTTGACAGTTAAAAATAGGAGAGGAAAGTTATTAAATGGAGAGTTAGAGGTATCAGGAAGATGGAGGGAATATTTTGAGGAATTGTTAAATAATGATGAAGATAGGGAAGCTGTGATTTCGTGTATAGGGCAAGGAGGAATAACATCTTGTAGGAGTGAGGAAGAGCCAGTTGTGACTGTGTGGGAAGTTGGTGAGGCACTGGGTAGAATGAAAGGGGGTAAGGCAGCTGGGATTGATGGGATAAAGATAGAAATATTAAAAGCAGGAGAGGATATAGTTTTGGAGTGTTTGGTGCTATTATTTAATAAATGTATGGAAGAGAGGTAAGGTACCTAGGGATTGGCAGAGAGCATGCATAGTTCCTTTGTATAAAGGCAAAGGGGATAAAAGAGAGTGCAAAAATTATAGTCTGTTGAGTAGACCTGGTAAAGTGTATGGTAGAGTTATTATTGAAAGAATTAAGATTAAGACAGAGAGTAGGATAGCAGATGAACAAGGAGGCTTTAGGAAAGGTAGGGGGTGTGTAGACCAAGTGTTTACAGTGAAGTATATAGGTGAACAGTATTTAGATAAGGGTAAAGAGGTTTTTGTGGCATTTATGGATTTGGAAAAGGCATGTGACAGGGTGGATAGGGGGGCAATGTGGCAGATGTTGCAGGTGTATGGTATAGGAGGTAGGTTACTGAAAGCAGTGAAGAGTCTTTATGAGGACAATGAGGCTCAGGTTAGAGTATGTTAGAGAGAGGGAGATTATTTCCCAGTAAAAGTAGGCCTTAAACAAGGATGTGTGATGTCACCATGGTTGTTCAATATATTTATAGATGGGGTTGTGAGAGAAGTGAATGCTAGGGTCTTGGCAAGAGGTGTGGAGTTAAAAAATAAAGAATCAAACACAAAGTGGGAGTTGTCACAGTTGCTCTTTGCTGATACGGTGCTTTTGGGAGATTCTGAAGAGAGGTTGCAGAGGTTTGTGGATGAATTTGGTAGGGTATGTAAAAGAAGAAAATTAAAAGTGAATATAGTGAAGAGTAAGGTTATGAGGATAACAAAAAGATTAGGTGGCAATAGATTAGATATCAGATTGGAGGGAGAGAGTATGGAGGAGGTGAAGTATTCAGATATTTAGGAGTGAACGTGTCAGCAGATGGGTCTATGAAGGATGAGATGAATCACAGAATTGATGAGGATAAAAGGGTGAGTGGTGCATTTAGGAGTCTGTGGAGACAAAGAACTATGTCCGTGGAAGCAAAGAGGGGAATGTATGAGAGTATAGTTGTACCAACACACTTGTATGGGTGTGAAGCATGGGTAATGAATGTTGCAACAAGGAGAAGGCGGGAGGCAGTGGAGATGTCATATCTGAGGGCAATGTGTGATGTGAATATAATGCAGAGAATTCGTAGTTTGGTAATTAGGAGAAGGTGTGGGATTACCAAAACTATTATCCAGAGGGCTGAGGATGGGTTGTTGAGGTGGTTCGGACATGTAGAGAGAATGGAACAAAACAGAATGACTTTGAGAGTGTATAAATCTGTAGTGGAGGGAAGGCAGGGTAGGGGTCGGCCTAGGAAGGGTTGGAGGGAGGGTTAAAGGAGGTTTTGTGTGCGAGGGGCTTGGACTTCCAGCAAGCGTGCATGAGCGTATTTGATAGAAGTGAATGGAGACAAATGTTTTTTGATGCTTGACATGCTGTTGGAGTGAGCAAAGTAACATTTATGAAGGAATTCAGGGAAACCGGCAGGCCGGACTTGAGTCCTGGAGATGGGAAGTACAGTGTCTACACTCTGAAGGAGGGGGTGTTAATGTTGCAATTTTATAACTGTAGTGTAAAGCACCCCTCTGGCAAGACAGTGATGGAATGAATGATGAAAGTTTTTCTTTTTCGGGCCACCCTGCCTTGGTGTGGGAATCAACCGATGTGTTAATAAAAAAAAAAATTGTATTATAAGTATTCATTATACATAGCCTTAGGAGACCACAATAGTATAAAAGTACAGTAAATAACATTTATAAAGTACTATATATGCCATATATATAACCCAGTTAAGTCTAATAATATTATTCCTAATATTATTTCCACATTTTGAGGAGTATTACACTGAAACAGTTGTAATGTTATAAGTATTCCTTATACATAGTCTTAGATGACCAAAATAGTTGAAAAGCAAAAAAAAAAAAAAAAAAGAATAAGCTAGTCATACCCAATTATTCCTAGTGAAACATTGTTTGAAATGCTAAAACATCTTGAAACATGTCTAATATTATAAAAAAAAAAACTAGTATATGTAGTGTTAAATATTAAAAACAATTAAAAAACAGAAAACAGTAATATATATTAGCATCAATAAATTATAAATGTAAACACTGTGGGTGCTTTATTGCAGCTGTTGCTGATTAGTGATCATTTTTCACCAACTTCTACACACCATAGAGGTGTAAGCTTTTATCATATTTCACTCATTTTCATCTTATTTAATTCAGAAAAAACAAGCTCTATCAATTTTTAAGAAAAAATATTTTATTTTTCAAAATTTTCCCCCACACACAGAATTTTTTTTTTTCTAGGATCTCCTACAGTTGAAGGGTTAAAAGTGAACATTGAAAAGACCAAGGTGAAGACAGTAACAAATAATTTAGGTAATGAAAGATTGGATATCAGATTGGAAGGAGTGAGTATGGAGGAAGTGAATGTGTTCAGATATAGTGGAACCTCGGCTTATGAGTGCCCCACCATACAAGTTTTTCAGGATAAGTGCAATCACTCGGTCGATTTTTTGTTTCTGGATACGAGCAGAAATTCAGGATGCGAGCTTCCCCCTCAGACAACTTTTTTTTAGACCACCAGATCTTACAAAATTAAAAGTGAATATATATATAATTGTAGTTCATTGTTGTGATGTATTATGTTGTTTTTACTGCTTAAGACTATAATTGCAACAGAAATAATAGTATTTCTTACCTTAAATTGTGGGTGCTGGTGTTAGTCGATGATTGTGAAGAGAGTGGAGAGTTATACTGTGGTCCTACTGGGCTGAGGTGGATGGTAGAGGTTCTGGTACTGAAGTTGATGGTTGTACTGGAGTGTACATAAATTCTGTAATGGATTTCTGCAGTACATTATACAACTGACAGTAAAGCATCAGCTGCTCTAGACACCATTTCAAGGTCCTCTTCAGTGAAAAAATCTAATGTTAAGTCATTCAGTCAAGTCATTCAGTCAGTCAGTCAAGTCAGTAAGTCAGTCAAGCCAATCATTTAAGTCAGTCAGTAAGTCAGTCAAGTCTGCCAGTCAGAGTAGTCAGTCAAGTCTGCCAGTCAGAGTAGTCAGTCAGTAAGTTATTCAGCCAAGTCAGTAAGTCAGTCAGTCAAGTCAGTAAGTCATTCAGTCATGTCATTCAGTTAGTCATTCAGTAAGTTAGCAACACTGGTATGCCTCCTTGGTGTCATGGTTGCTTGGCAGATACAAGATATGGTAATTAAAAGATCAAAACACAATTCACAAACACAGCTAGCTTGAAGGAGAGAAGTGGAACTGAGCACGAATTCACACGAAGCTGGGAGGGTGGTGTCAGGAGTGTGGGAGTGTTGAAGTATTTTTGTCCTGCCTTCCAGAACAGGAATTCTGCTGAAACGGATTAATGGCATTTCAGTTAATTTAAATGAGGAAAATTGACTCAGCATACAGATCGGGATATGAGCAAGGTCACGGAACGGATTAAATTTGTAAGCCGAGGTTCCACTGTATGTATTTGGAAGTGGAACTTGTCAGCAGATGGGTATATGAAAGACAAAGTGAATCACAGGATTGACAGAAGAAAAAAGGTGAATTGTGCATTGAGGAATCTGTGGAGACAAAGAACATTATTCATGAAAACAAAAAGATGCTGATGCCTTACCAGTGCTCTTATATGGGTGTGAAGCATGGATTGTGAATGTTGCAGCAGTTTTGAACTGTAGTATCGATGCCTTTGGTAAGACAGTGATGGAGTGAATAATGGTAAAAGTTTTTCTTTTTTTTTTTGGGTCACCCTACCTCAGTGGGAGATGGCCAGTTTGTTAAAAAAAAAAAAAATACACACATTCCAAGTTTCCTTCTAATTTCTTAATAGTTCTTGTTCTTGTAGTGTTTCAGTTAAATTTCATGGGGAAGTGGAATGTAATTTTTTCTACATAAGCAGTTTACCTGGAGTTTACCTGGAGAGAGTTCCGGGGTCAACGCCCCCCCGGCCCGGTCTGTGACCAGGCCTCCTGGTGGATCAGAGCCTGATCAACCAGGCTGTTGCTGCTGGCTGCACGCAGTGCATGCACGTCTAAAATAGCAATTAACCCTTTCAGGGTCCGTCCCGTAGATCTACGGCTTTACGTTCAGGGTCCAAACCGTAGATCTACGTCATGAGCTCAGCTCACTCTGATAAACTGTGAGTGGTAAATTTGGGCCTAGATATGAGAGAATACATCTATGTGGTATGTGTGCACCACATAAAACAACTCCTGCAGCACAGTGTGTATAATGAGGGAAAAAAAAAACTGAGACCCTGGTTTTCGATTAAAACAGCGACTTTGCAGTGTTTTTTCGTATGTTTTTTATAGTTGTATTTGTGATTTCTTGGTCTCATTTGATAGAATGGAAGACATATTGCAGAAATAGAGATGATTTTGATTGGTTTTAGCACTGGAAATGGCTTGAAACTGAGCTCAAAGTGGCGGAAATGTTGAATTTTTGCCGATGTTCAAGAGTAAACAAACGACCTCACACGTCTAATACACGCCAGCTGGTGGGTCTAATATACATTCACAAATGTGGTGATGATATTTATACAATTATTACAATTCTGCGTAACAGTAAATCTTCTGTTTTTTGGTGTGAATAAAAATTCATTGTGAATAAAAAATCAAAATGGAATTTATCTGTAAAGCCTCAAAACATAACTAATGAACAGAGGAAATGTTAGTTTAGTGCCAGGAATACTTACATTGTTTATTCTGGAACCTATTTTGAAATTGGAATATTTTGAACTTTGTGTTAAATTGGCCAAATTACCAATTTCCGGTCACTTTATTTTGTAGTTGAAACAGTTGACTTGGCGATTTCTTGTGCTCAATCGATAGAATAGAAGTAATACTAGTGAAATAGCTGAGAATTTGGTCGACTGGAATAATGTAATTGGCCTAAAATGGGAGTGAAAGTCGGCAAAATCGCCGATTCGTAAATATCGCTGACACATCAAAATTCACGAGAGCATAATTTCGTCAATTTTCCATCAAATCTCGTACTTTTTGTTTTATTACATTCACAAAAAGATTCTCTACCATTTCATAAGAAAAAATAAAAAAAATTTTTTTTTTAAATTCTTGGACACTGGGGCACCACTTCAGATTTTGGCCTTGGACCCTGAAAGGGTTAAAATACCAAGACATAAAACAAACAGAAGGAAATAGTAAAACTGGATTGATTGAATGGGCATGGTTGTAATAAGACTGAGAAGAAAGCATTTATTGTTAATATAGTGAATGAAAAGAAGCCGACATCTTAGCATTATTAGGTGAAGCAAAGCAAAGAATGGGAGAATTTCAGTGGGGAGAAGTAAATCAGGTTAAATCAGGTGTATCTAAGAGAATTACAGAAGAGTTAGCAATAATACTAAATAATCAACTGTGGTAGGAAAACAGCTATAACTGTTTACAGTCAGGAATTATGTAGACTAAAATAATTTGGAATATGAGGTGTAGGGGTAATAGTAAGTGTTTGTGTACTGGGGAAAGAGAGGAGAGAGAAAGATTTAGGGAGGTATCAAGCAAATGTTGAGGGAGTTTCAAACCAAGTGCAAAAATAATTCTTGTGAAAGAAACTGTGGAGTGCATAGTAGGCAAGTTTGGAGGTGCCAAGGATAAATGATAGGGGTAGGGCCACTAATTGCATAGAAAGAGGTTTGGTAATAGGTAGTATATATTTTAAGAAAATAAGGTTGAATAAGTACTTGAGATATAAAAAAATGTGCAATGACAGCAATTGATTAGACATCATACTGCATTAATGTCATAAAAATAAAGAAGTATAATAAATTTATCTTGTCACAGGTGGTTCTAAAATAATGTTTGTCAGAGGCACGACCACAAAGCGGGATGAAGAGATTGCTGATGCAGCACGTACTGCCAACCCAGATGAAATTGACTTGGATGATGATGATGATGGTGACGATGATGATAAGGAGGATGAGGATGATGATGATGGTGAGTTTTGTTTTGAGTCAAATATTTTTCTCTAGAATTTTATTCGTAATTTAGGTGACATGTTATTTAATTTCCTCAATAACTATCAGTTTTGTTGTGTGTATGTTGAATTAAAGCTTTTCAGTAATTTTTAGCTTCTGGATTATTTCACATAAATAATTAATTCTCCCATTACCATACTTCTGCTCTTATGTATTTGGCCTCACTGTAAAACCTCTTATTTAATTACAGTAGTTTTTATAGAAACAGTTTTGGAGTAAAGGAGCCCTCAAAACCACCCACATATTAAAAAACATGAGGCTTTCTCCAGTTATTGCATAAAAAAATGTACACCTACACAGCTTAATGCCAAAAAAAAATTTCATCTATTTTATACAATGAATCAGCCATTAAAGAACTATGCCATTCAAAATTGTTTTATTTTAATCATGGGAAAGTACCAAACCATTATGGGGTCATATAGCACCTGTGGAATGGAAAACATTAAATATTTTACAAATTTCACTTTCTTTTTGTATCTGTTCATGCTGTACATGTCATTATTGATTTTCATAAACGTGTTAGCAATAAATATTTTTGTGTATTTTAAGTTGTCAAATACTACATACTTTATACTTCTTTCAACAAACCGGCCATATCCCACTCTAGCAGGGTGGCCCAAATAGAAAAACGAAAGTTTCTCTTTTTAACTTTAGTAATATATACAGGAGAAGAGGTTACTAGCACTTTATACTTAGTTACATATTATATTATTCTGGAAGCTCATTTCCTCTGAGAACATGTTCCATTCACCTAATATTGTCATCCAGTCTTTCATATATGTATAGACTCACTTCTGCTTTCCAAGAAGCCAAGTGTTTTCTCCTTACTCTTGGCTACTTTTGCCTTAATTTACTTTGTATGCCAACACTTTCATGCCTCATTTTAACTTCCTTTAAATTGCACTTTTTCCATTAAATGTGATTTTGGAGGTTTGTTGTGAAATAAAAGAGCATTCAAAATTAAGAGTGGATTATTGTAGACAGTACAATTTAAATTTATCATGTACATAAAACCAGGAGCTTATCACAGTATTTTTTCAGATCTTCCTCAACAACGAGAAATACCGTCAGCAGTTTTCGGCCAGCTGAAGAAGGAGTAAACTAAGAATAAAGAATATGTATTTTTTAATAAAGAGTAAAAGGGTTTGATGATTTTTATTACACCAAATTTGTAATGTAAGTTTACTCATTGGACTCCAGTATCTTTAGCATTACAGTATACTCATGGACCATATAGTGCCACATAACAGAGGTGAAAAAGATAACAGACAAAGTGATGGAGGTGCAGATAAGAGCATGTCAGCAGAAAGAAAGGGGAAGGGTCACAGGTGATGTAGCAAATTGGAGACAAAGAGCCTGTGTTAAGAGCAAGATCATCGGAGAGGACTTTGTTATATATGAGCAGCATCATTAGCAATGGCAGTGTGAATAGAAGGAACATCAGCAACAATAGTATTTTGGCAACATCAGTGTCATTGGTGGCAGGACAAGATGAAGCCCATTTTTTGTCACGGTCAAAATGAAGTCACAGGCTATAAATAATAGCAAGTTTTGAGGAATAAGAAAATATTCCAGTTATTTAGGATGAAAGACAAGGGTTGAGGCTATTCAAGTTTCATCTGAGGAGAGGGAGGAACATTTCAATCTTTCAACCAAGAGCATATAGCCTTTAAATCATGTTTGGAACTCTGACCCTACAGGTAATAAAGATATTTCTACCTGAGCCATGATTATCTAATTTTATTTATTATTTAACTCAGAGTATATACCCAATATTTTAAATTCAGCACTGTTCAAGTAGACTAAAATTAATATACATATATACAAACAATATAATACTAATATACTGTAAGTATTTATTGTGGGCTTTCTGAGTTTTCTCATCCTGGCCATTTAGGTGCCCCCAAATTTGCTCTTCCTGTGGGCCTCCCAAATTTTCTCTTGGTGTCTATTTTGGGCCTAGGTAGTAGGTTGGCAGACAGCAACCGCCCAGGGAGGTACTGCCGTCTTGCCAAGTGAGTGTAAAACGAAAGCCTGTAATTGTTTTACATGATGGTAGGATTGCTGGTGTCCTTTTTTTCTGTCTCATAAACATGCAAGATTTCAGGTACGTCTTGCTACTTCTACCCTACACTCTGCTCTTGCTGTAGGCCTCCCCAGCTTTCTCTTGGTGTTTATATAGGGGCTGCCCTGTGGGCTTTCCAAGTTTTCTTGTCCTAGCCATTTAGGTGGTGGACACTGATCCACCTTTGTCATTACTCTTCACTCTTCTCCATCTGCACAATTCTTTTCTTCACAGCATTCCAATCCTTCACTGCATACTAACCCTTCCAGTCTGTAGATACACATTACTTCATATTTTCTGTATCCTTCTCTTTGCACATCATGGCTTACTTACAGTAGAATATCCAAGGCCTAAGGGGTAACCAGGGTGAGCTTCAGATATTGCTCTCCCTGTTTGTGTATGTTTACAAGAACCCAAATTACACTCCGTTGTTATCCATCCCGTCTCAGGCTGTTTTACTTATATTCATTGGATCCTTTTCTTGATGGAACCTTTAATGAAAGTGCACTTCTTGTATGCACCAATATACCCTACCATCAGATCTTTGTTCATACTTCGCTGCATTATACTGCAGCACACATCTTCTTGAATAAGTGGTATATGGTCTGTTCTTTGTATCTCTCTCCTTCTCTGGCATTATCTATCCCAGATGTAGCATTTTTGGTTTCTTCATTACTGCCACCACTTCTGTTATTAAGCGATTTTAATGCTTATCATTTCCTCTGGGGGGGTCTCACCGTGACACTCATGACATTCAGTTAGAGGCTCTTCTCACTTCTCTCCCCCTCCATATTTTAAATACGGGTGCTCCCACCCATTTCGACCCTCATACTCAATCTCTCTCTTGTCACTATAGCAAACCCTCTTGAAGTTGCCACTGAAATTGGTAATCATCTTGTCTGTAGTATCTCCCAGGAGCTCCATTTATGCCCCTCGTTTCTTTACTCCAAGTCTGCCAGAGAGTTAGAGCCCTTAGACTTTTCTTCTAGCAGAGTCTTATAATGTGCCGTTTACACTTCTGGAATTAGAGTCAACATTTTCCTCTTGCCGATCATCAGCAGCTGTGCCTGACGGCATTCATATTCGTATGCTCCAGCATTTACATCCATCAGCCCTTGCTGTCCTCTTATGACTATTTAGCCTTACTTGGTCGCAAGTAGATATTTCCCAGATGTGGAAATCTGACATTGTTCTACCTTTTCATAAACCAGGTACTTTGGGACATGATGCCTCCCACTATCATCCCACTGCTCTTACCAATGCAGTTTGCAAGGTGATGGAATGTCTAGTAAATAGATGTTTGATGTGGTATTTAGACACATGATAGTCTCTCCACTAGTCAATATGGCTTTTGTAAGGGCTGTTCTACTATTTATCCCTTACTCTGTTAAGGTACCTATGTTTGTAATGCCTTTGCCAATGTCGGGTCATCATACGACTAAGACTCGCATCAGGAAACACTTGTTCTGTTTCCTGACAAACCTTACTTAACCTAATAGAACCCATACACAAAATACTAGGCACAAAAATCTCTATGACATTCCCTGCGACAGGCTAAATCTTTTTTCAAAAACTCGATGTACATAAAAGGGCCCAAAATCTGGAACTCTCTGCCAGAAATCTCCTGAACCAATGACTCGCCTAGCATTTTTAAAACTACAGTTAAAAAAATGCCTTACCTCCATGACCTATCCCAGCATATACATTTGCTCAATATCATAAACATTGGTAAAATTATAATCAATATATACTTACTCTCAATATCTGCAATCCACTCAAATGTTAATTATTCCATTATGTCCACCTTGAGTTAATAATCAAAACTCTAATTTCTGTCTACCAAACTTATTAAATCCATATAGCATGAACTAATAGAATATTCAGTTCTTTGTAATCATTGTAAACTAACCTAATGATCAAAGGTGCAAAATTACTACACAGTTATTGCATTATTAATTTTAAGTTTGCCAAAATGCTCTGCATATAAAGGGGCTTTTGGCATGTACACCCAGTTATTATACTCATTTGTGCAAACATGTATCATCCTGAAATAAACTAATTATTCTCACTCTTATTCAAAGATACAATAGAAACTTAAAAATTGAAATGGCTAAGTAACTCAACTGTGTGAAAATCAGTTACAATAAAAAGATGTACAATAAGAATAGGTGAACTGAGTTATATTTACATGAGCATTAAATAATAGGTCCCCTCCAGGGAGGTTCCTTGATTCTGATGAGAGGTTCTTACTCTACGGAATTAGATCTGTGTTCCAGTTCCCTGAATTAACCTGAATACCTTCCCCCTCCCCCACAGGCACTGTACAACCCTATGGGTTTAGCACTTCCCCATGATTATAATAATTACAATAATAGGTACACGAATATTAGCTATACAAGAAATCACGCTCCTCCCTGTCTGTAGCTTCATTCATTAGGTATCTTTCTGTAACTATGTTCATTAGGCACCTTTCAACTCCTGAACTGGCTCATGCTAGGACAGCTTGGACATGTGCAGGAAAACCGTTCCATTCTTATTGCTGTATAATTCAAATTCAAAATCCAAATTTTTATTTCTTTGCAAGTTTACAATGTGATTGACATGTTGTAGATAGGCAGCTTACAGTGTGTGATTAGAATAATGATTTGCAGTGTAAACAGAGCCACTATCATGCCTAGGCATTATGGGCAGACTAAATTTAATGGGTTACAGATTACTTAATACTAGATAAATAGATCATTGTTAAACCTGGAGTTTACCTGGAGAGAGTTCCGGGGGTCAACGCCCCCACGGCCCGGTCTGTGACCAGGCCTCCTGGTGGATCAGAGCCTGATCAACCAGGCTGTTACTGCTGGCTGCACACAATCCAACATACAAGCCACAGTCCGGCTGGTCAGGTACCAACTTTAGGTGCTTGTCCAGTGCCTGCTTGAAGACTGCCAGGGGTTTGTTGGTAATCCCCCTTATGTATGCTGGGAGGCAGTTGAACAGTCTCAGGCCCCTGACACTTATTGTATTCTCTTAACGTGCTAGTGACACCCCTGCTTTTCATTGGGGGGATGTTGCATCGTCTGCCAAGTCTTTTGCTTTTGTTGTGAGTGATTTTCATGTGCAAGTTCGGTACTAGTCCCTCTAGGATTTTCCAGGTGTATATAATCATGTATCTCTCCCGCCTGCGTTACAGGGAATACAGGTTCAGGAACTTCAAGCGCTCCCAGTAATTGAGGTGTTTTATCTCCGTTATGCGCGTCGTGAAGGTTCTCTGTACATTTTCTAGGTCAGCAATTTCACCTGCCTTGAAAGGTGCTGTTAGTGTGCAGCAATATTCCAGCCTAGATAGATTTAGATTTTAGATTTTGCCACCGAAGTGGCTAGTTTATTGTGCACCTCATATCCATCCTATGGATGGTAGCACAAGAGCATATGGATACACAAAAGACCTAGGAGGCCCCAAAAGGGTTAACAGGTGTACATATGGGTTTATATCTACATATCTAGTTCACTTATCTGTTACAAGCAAATTTAGGAAATTTGCTTATTGACTGATTTTGCCACCGAAGTGGCTAGCTTATTGTGCACTCCATATCCATCCTGTGGACAGTAGCGCAAGAGCATATGGATACACAAAAGGCTCAGGAACTAGGCCCCAAGGGGTTAACATGAATACATATGGATTTATATCTACATATCTATAGTTTGGCAGTTTGGAGGGATATGTTGTGTATCTCTATACGTATATGCTTCTAAACTGTTGTATTCTGAGCACCTCTGCAAAAGCAGTGATAATGTGTGAGTGTGGTGAAAGTGTTGAATGATGATGAAAGTATTTTCTTTTTGGGGATTTTCTTTCTTTTTTTTTTTGGGTCACCCTGCCTCGGTGGGAGACGACCGACTTGTTGAAAAAAAAAAAAAAAAAAAATCTATAGTTCACTTATTTGTTACAAGCAAATTTAGCAAATTTGCTTAGTATATCTGGTATCTTAATTTCATTAATAAGATATCTTGACATGTCACATAGGTTATTATATTGTCTCTGTATTCCTCAATAAGTGGACAATTAAGCACATAGTGTTCAAGACAG